GAGGCCCAGACTTCCCAAACCCCTGATCCCTGAGATTCCCCTCTAATGTACAACCCTCCCTTGGCATTTTTAATTCTTACACAATTCATGGTTTTCCCCCATTGCTTCTTCCATCTTTCAATATCCAATTTCATTGATCAGCAAACCTACACTTTGTTTGTAAAGGCAAATATTTTTTTTTTATTTTTCCATTCATCAATCAGTGGAATCCATCCCATAATTCCTTTTCTCTCTCAGTGCTGGTTTTATCTCCCAGCAGACCCAGAGCTGGTTTGTACAGACAAATCCCTCCTTGCTCTCACTGCCTCAATCAGCCCAGACCAAGCCCAGGTCCCCACGAAGCCACAGCACTTCCAGCTGCTGTCCCTGGGCTGTCCCTGTCCCAGAGTTGGTCCTGTCCCTGTCCTTGTCCCTAGTCTGTCCCTGTCCCTGGGCTGTCCCTGTGTCTGTCCCTGTCTCTGTCCTTGTCCCTGTCCCTGGGCTGTCCCTGTGTCTGTCCCTGTCTCTGTCCTTGTCCCTGTCCCAGGGCTGTCCCTGTGTCTGTCCCTGTCCCAGAACTGTCCCTGTTCCTGTCCCTGTCTCTGGGCTGTCCCTGTCCCAGAGTTGTTCCTGTCCCTGTCCTTGTCTCAGGGCTGTTCCTCTCCCTGTCCAAATCCCAGAACTGTCCCCGTCCCTGGGCTGTCCCTGTGTCTGTCCCTGTCCCTATTCTGTCCTTGTCCCTGTCACTGTCCCTAGTCTATCCCTGTCCCAGAGCTGTTCCTGTTCCTGTCCCTGTCCAAAAACTGTCCCTGTGTTGTCCCTGTCCCTGGGCTGTCTCTGTCTCTATCCCTGTCCCTGTCCTAGAGTTGTCCCTGTCCCTATCTCTGGTCTGTCCCCATTCCTGGGCCGTCCCTGTCACTGGTCTATCCCTGTCCCTGTCCCTGTCCCAGTCCCTGCAGGATTCAGGACAGATGGAAGCTGCAGCTCCCGGTGTCCCCAGGCTGGGAAATTCATTTTCCATCCATCAGCTGCTGCACAGCCCAGCCCCTCCCGTGTGAGTGCACTGACACACCACGAGCCTTCTCGGGAAAAAAATGAGATTTGTCATTAACCCAGCAGCGCCTTGGCAGGGCCAGATGGGCCCCATTTCCTGGGCCATCCCAAAAGCTCCATCTCCAAATTTGAAGCCAAACCCCAAAGCTCTGAGTGCCTGGAAGCCTCTCCAGCCTCTCACTGAGGAGCCAGGCCTGGAAAAGGCTCATAAAATCAGGGGCAGTAATGCAGAGCCTAAATTCCACTGGATTTCCATGCAGAAACTGCTGAAATAAATATGATTTTAGCTCCTCTTTAATCCTATTTGTACTGAACATGTGTTGGAATCGTGGCCCATGACTTCCAGCAGCATTGCCTGCACAGTGAAGAGCCAGCAGCAGTCATTTATTATATTTAATTTTTTTTTTTTTTTTTTTTACTGGAAGAGATGATTTTAGGCAGGAAAACACACCAGAATAATTACCAGGATATTTGAATTGAGTCTTTTCTGGCTCACTGAGGGGAACTTGGCTTTGAGGAGCTGAAAGGACCAAACCCCACCAGATCCTGAGCTTTGCTCAGGAACTCCTCAGTTCTTGCTGCTTAATAACATTGAAAATAAATGAAGCTTTTTCCAACCCAACACATTCCAGGAATATTAAAACAGGGAAAGAAAGGGGAGTGGCTGGAAAAATTCCACCCCCATGGAAAAAAATTCCAATTATCATTTCCTGGTGAAGGTGGGCACAAAAACAGGGATAAAAAAAAACCAACCCAGATATTCACCCAGTTCATCTCCATCCAAATCACCCCAGGGCTTCACCTCTGTGATATTTCAGCACCTGAAAATTCCATCCCCGAAGTCATTTCTGCTCTTTAAACCCAGAATTTGGTGTGTGGTTACAGGAGAGGCTGGTGGAGGGAGAAGGCAGAAGAAAAGTTTAACCCCAAAACCAAATGGAGCCACAGAGGGAGGTCTCAGAGCTGGGTTAAAATAAATTCCTCCTCAAATGCTCTTTGCTTGGATCAACGTGTGAATAAATACTCTGAAACTGCATGAAAATAGTGGAAAATTGTTGTGTAGATTATTGGATTTCTGTGAAAACGTCCCAGTGCAGAGTGGGAGCAGCAGAGCAGGGTCTGCTTTGAGCCCTGCAGGGATAATTTGGATTTGACAATTTTTGTTCCACAAAACCAGGGCCTCACCTCACTCCCCTCTGGGTAAAACAAAGAAACTTCAATTAAAAAAAAACAACAAAACCAAACTTCTGGAATTAACCCCCCCCCTTCCATCAGTGGTCCATGGAGAAAAGACTTTTACTGCTCTTCTTTTTCTGGTTCAGTCATAAAAACTACATTTATTTTAAAAATGTATTTACAAACTTTACAACAATCATTACATTAAAAAAAAAAAAAAAAGGAAATTTGTACACCTTGCTTTACAGATTTAGTGAATTGTGTGGCATTTAGCAGAGAGCTGCAGCTCCTGCTCTCTCCACAGCCACTTTAAAGCTGTATTTTTTTACTGATTCAATTGCACAAGACTGAAAAAAAAAAAAACCAAAAAACCCCAAATATTTTATTTTCAGTGCGTTTGCAATGAAACCACCAATCCAGGATCCCAGAACACACAAAAATTCCTTTCACAACACCCAAATCCTCCTGAATTCATCCCAGGGTTCAGAGTGATGAAACCTTTGTGATCCCACAGTGAGAAAAATCCATCGAATGTACATTGGGATCAAAAAATAATCAAAATATACACTTTGGTGAACTCTGCCTAAAAATAGAAACCAGCACCACGTGGACCTGAAAAACAGGTGAAGTAACCTTGGAGTAACCCCTGTAGTGCCCAAACTGTCCTAAAGGTGCTTTAATTAATGTTCAGAGAGAAGAATCAGGTGAACCTTGTGCCAGAAAATCCCATTATTTGTTTATTTTTCCTCCCTGCTGTAGTCTTTGGTAAAGCTCACCCTGGATCACCAGAGGATTTGGTCTGCAACAGTAAAAATAAGGTCAAGTTTTTAATTAAAAATAAAAATAATCAAAAGAAGATAGCAAAAGCAGGTCAGGAATGTTTTCACTATATAAACAAATTCGTTCAATTACAGATTTAAAGTTATTATCTCCATTTACAACGATAAAAAATAAATAAGGAGAGGAAAAACCTGGGGCGTTGTCACTGCAAGTGCAGCTCTGTGTGGGTGTGGAGCAAACACTGGGCTGAGAGCAGAGAGTTTTTGGGATGCAGATTCCCAAAAATCCTCTGCACATCCATCCTGCTCCCCCTGCAATCTGTGTCCTTTCCTAATCCCAAAAAAAAAAATCCACGGAAAGGCAAAGCTGCCCGTGCCCCTCGTGTGGATTAGAGGCTGTCACATTTTTTTAAGGAATTTATCACAGCGTGAGAAATTTTAATTAAAAGCTCCAGAAAACAAGTGTTGAGCACATTTCTCCAAAGGAGGAAAAACTCAAATCTTCAAAGGCTGGAGATTTCACAGCAGTTTTGAACAGCTTGGCTCTGAAATGGGATTAGGTTTTGTCTCCTCTGCAGAGTGGATGTTTTGAGATTTTATTCAAAACCACGAATTGGGCAGAAATTGCTGTAATTTGTGGTGTGGAGAGATGTTCATTATGGGCAGTCTTATTCCCATTTTTAACCCTTCAGTTTAAAACACATTAGAGGCATTTCCTAAAGCACCTAATTAACCTGAAGAGATGATTCTTGTTAAAAAAAAACACAAGGTAGAGATACCTTGAAATTGTCTCTGAAAATGAAATCTCACAACTCAAGTCAGGCAGGTACCCAAGCAAAGAGCAAACACTTTAAAAAATCAGATTTCTGATGGGATTTCTCCTAAGAGTGGGCACTTAATTCCACTAATTTAAAATCAGTCAAATGCCCTGTTCTTCCTCACACCTTAAATGCCCAACTGCTTTTAAAAACCTGACACTTGGATGATTTTTTTTTCCCCCTAAACCTGACCCAAAGCCCTGAATTATTTGGGCACAGAACAGAAATTCCCTCCTGCTCCTCTGAGCCATTGATGCCAAATTTTATCAGCCAGGTAAGAGAAACTGGACATTGCCAAAAGGAGGAGGAGGAGGAGTGGGACAAAGTTACAAATTCTGCAATATAAATAAATGCTGAAAAGGGGAAAAAAAAAAAAAAAGAAAAATTGAACCAAATTTAGAGCCCTTTCTGGGAAATTTGCCAGTGAAAATACCCAAAATTTCCTGGGAAGGGGAAAAACTTGTCCTGAACTCTTCAGTGGCAGCTGCTCCTCTCCTCCCAGTTCAGAGGGTCCCATCCCAGTGCCCAACTGGGCAGGCAGAGGAGAAACCTGAATTTGTCAGCAGCAAACCCAGGTGAGGTTTAAGGTGAGAGGAGCAATTCGAAGGCAGAGCTGAGCTGAAGGTGGAACTGTTCTCACCCCTGGCACTGCACCCCCAGGGAAGGGAGGGATAATTATCCCTGGTGGTTAATTAACCACTGACACGCCAAGGGTTCTGTTCAAAATCCTGCTCTGTAACTGCAAAAAAATGCAGCCAGAGCCAAATCTCCCCGAGAAAAAGAGCAAAAAGCTGATTAAAGATCAGCTGAAATATTCTTCTCGAGCTCAGAGCTCCTCCTGTGAGCGTTTCTTGTGTGGTTCCCTTCTCCAGGAAAAAACCTGGATGCACAAGGTACCTCCACATGGAAAGGCTGTTAAAACAAAATAAAAAGGCTGCAAAAGAGAACTCCAAAGTCACTTAGAACCAAACCAGCTCCAGGTGTTTGTCCACACCTGGGAAAGCATTGCTGGGATCCGCGCTGAGCTGATTGACTGCACGAGTTAAACCCGAGCTGCTCCCAGCACAAGCCAGGACCGAGCTCAGGGGCAGATGCAGAGCGGGGAAAGGCACTGAATTAACAATGACGCTGCTAAGATGCACTTCAGACAGCTCACACCACATCCTGCTGTTCTGCCTGCAGCAAAATCCTCCACAAGTTGATGCCGAAGTGAAGTTTCAGAGGCTCCTGGGGCGAAGGCAGCACGGAAGGGAGGGAGAGGGGACAGAAAATGCAAAGACAAGAAACCCCAGCGGTTTTCAAGTCAAGCAGCGTCTGCGTCCAAGAACACAACGAGGAGCTGACACATCCTACAATGCCCCAGAGAGGGGGGAAACCTGGCCAGGGTGTCCAGGAAGATTCCCAAGATTTCCCCCGGGATGCAGCAGCCTGGAGGCAGCGAGTGCAGCGAGCAGGCTGGGGATGGATGGGATGTGACTGCAGAGCCACCTCCAGAGCAGCTCCAAGCTGGAGGTGATGGCACTCCGGGATGGCTCTGGGACCAGAACAATCTGCTGACAGCGGCTCCTGCAGCCACACTCACGTCAGAAGGATTGGGAAGAACAAAAGGAAATGACAACTTCAGTCTGAGCAAAACTCTCCCGGGGGTGGTTGTTGTTGTTGGGTTGGGTTTGGTTTTTGTTGGGTTTGGTTTTCCCTGAAAAAGTTTTTGCCGAGGAAAACTTTTCATGAGGTTTAACAAACGTTGGTTTTGCAGTAAGGTCAGAAAGACATTTCACTCAAGGGAGCACAAGAATGGCCTGTGAACCCCCAGCCCAACAATAATTGCATTTCCTGCTGGGAGCAACACCCTCACAGCAGGGTTTTAGTGACTCTTCCCAACTTCTACAAGATCATCAGAGGCAAAATGACTGAATTAACAAACAAAATTATTTCCTGGAAGAGAAAGCAAAATGTTCATCAATATTGATGATAAATAAACAGGCCACGAGCTGTTTATGGAGCTGGTACCAGTAAAGTCCTGGTATCAGTGCAGCTGGTACCAGTCCAGCCCTGGCAAAAGTGCAGCCCCTGTCACCTCAAACATTCACAGGAGGGATTTGTTTCCACCCCATTAAAAAGCACAAAATGAGATCTTGTGCCAAACCAAGCACAAGCTGAGCAGAGATCCTGACCCAGGCAAGAAATCCCACCAGTGAGACCAGCCCAGGATTCCCAGTTCCACTGGGAAGGAGCTGCTGGGATTGCAGCAATGAGAAACTGGGGACAGACAAGAGCAGGAGAGAGAGAAGAATTCCAGTAGGGAGATGTCTGGATTAGTGTGTCAGTACTGCACAAACAGAGGGGAGGGAACCCATTCCCAAAATTCCTTTGTGGCATTTCCCAGGAAAAAAAAAAAAACAACTGCAGGGGAAGTGCTGCAATCAGGGCACTGGAAATCGAGCAGCCACGGCATGGTGGGGATTGCTGGGACCCCAAATCCTCACTGCAGCCCCTGCTCCGAGGACACCACGCTGGATTTCCTGGTTTTTGGGGGTGGAGGGGGAGGTTTGGCCTCTCGTCTGCTGGGCAGAGGTGGAGCAACCTGAGGAGATGGAAACACACACACAGAAATCAAATAAAGCAAGGGGAAGGAGTTGTGCTTCACCAAATGAGAAACCCAAAAGGTCCTGATGGTTCCTGCAGGAGCAAACCTTGGAGTTCAGCCTCAGCTCCACGTGAAGGGGCCAAACGAGGACAGATCCCCAGGAAAGAACAGAAGCTGAAATGTTTTAGCTGCTAAAACATGCCCAGGATAGACTTTAATTGCTTCTGACCTGCAGCCCAACTCCAGCATTTTTATCCCTCAGCAACAAACCCATTTCCTTCCAGCTTTCAAAATTCAGGGGTTTTTTTTTGGGTTTTTTTTCCTCCTGCTGCACCAAAAGGATGTAAAATGTGTTCAAATCAGAAGGGCAAAACCTAACAGCCTGAAATGGGAGTTCTAATTAAACAAGCCACATCCTGCCTGCCTGCAGAGGGGCTTGGGGTTTGTTGCACTGAGGGGAGTTTTTTCAAGTTGTCTCTGCCCATTTTTAGGGGCATCCTGTAAATAAATGAGATGGGAAAGGCCAGGAGAGTGAGGAGCTTGTGTGGTTCATCAGCCAAAATCAGCATTTCAGCACGGTTTTAACCAAAGGAATTCCCAACTTTGCAACAGCAGAGTAACAAAACCCTTCAGAAAACCCTTCCCAATGTCCCTTTGCAGCCCTGGGAATCCTTTCCCCCCAAGCCAGCCAAGGGGATGCTGTCATGGCACTCATGAATTTCCTCACAACACTCAAGGGAAGGAGGATCTTCCCTTAATCCTCTTGATCCAGGGGCTCCCAGAGCATCCCTGGGATCTCTGCTGGCCACAGCACCACAGCAGCCACTTCCAGCCAAATGAAGGGCAAAGAAGAAAAAACTTCCTGCCCATCCCACATTTCAAGGCTTTGTTCCAGTGCCACAACACAGAATTAAGTGATGAGATGTTTTCTTGTCTTCCTGTGCTGCTAAAGCAGTTAAGTGTGGTCACTGCTCAAATTCTTTTTGGCCAAATCCCAGTTTATGTCACTCAGGTACTCCCAAATCCCCAGCACCTTCATCCCAGGGCCAGGTGAAATAATTCTGACACGAGATTTGCACGTCAGGGATTGCAAACAGCCTGGAGACAGCGAGGTGTGAGAGAAACATCAGTGGCACAGCACTGAGAAAGGGAAAGTTTGATATTGCTGCAAGAAAATGGAACTGGGACAAAGGGCAGGGTTTAAATACAGGCTTTTAGAAAGTCATTAATGGCTTGTAAAATCAGATTTTGTCAAGCTGAGGCTTAGAAGGAGACATTGGAGACCTCTGAAAATTGAGATTTTCCACCCACACTTCTTTTTCAGCCCAAATTATTGCACTATTCAGTTTGATCATGTTTTTGAAACTTTTGCTCTGCTGTGTTTTCTGTATCTCTTCCCACCCCCACACACCTTCTTCCTGACCAGGGACAACACAACTCCCAGTTGGAGAAAAAAAAAAAAAAAATACAAACCAAAAAAGGCACTGCACTGCCTTCTCCTGAAGCAAAAAAAAAAAAATAATAAAATTCCTTCTTTTGTGGTTTCAGGGAGTGAAGCAGTGAAATGATGAGACAGGTTTCAAGCAGCACCACCCCAAGAGCAGCTTGGAAAATTCCAGTGGTGCCCCCAGCTCCCATTTCCTCATTTCCTCACCTCCACGGAGCTCCTGGGGGTGCTGCTCTCGTAGGGTTTGCTTTTGGGTGGAGGGGGGGGTGGTGTGGCCAATCCATCAGCCTGCAAGGAGGGGACACCTGGAGAAACACAGAGAGGAGAAATAGCAAAAAAAAAAATATATATATATGTATATATATGGAGAAAATAAGGGGAAAAAAGAATAGGAAAAAAAAAAACCGAAAAAAAGAAAAAAAAAGGGGAAAAAAGAACAGAAAAAAGAACAAAAGAAAGAACAAAAAAGAAAAAAAAAGAACAGAAAAAAGAACAAAAGAAAGAAAAGGAACAAAAAAGGGAAAAAAAGAACAGAAAAAAGAACACAAAAAAATAAAAAAGAGCAGAAAAGAACAAAAAAAAGAACAAAAAAGAACAGAAAAAAGAACCAAAAAAAGAATAAAAAAGAGCAGAAAAAAGAACAAAAAAGGAAAAAAAAGAAGAAAAACAAAAAAAAAAAACAAAAAAAAACCCAAAAAAGAACAAAGAAAACAAAAAAAGAACAAAGAAGAACAAAGAAGAACAACGAAGGAATAAATAAGGAATAAATAAGGAATAAATAAGGAATAAATAAGGAATAAATAAGGAATAAATAAGGAATAAATAAGGAATAAATAAGGAATAAATAAGGAATGGGAAATGGTGTTGGACACGGATTTGAGGGGAGCTCATGGAATATTCCTGTGCTTTCCATCTGTGGCTGAACCTGCCTGGATGTTTTCCCTGCACTTCCCAAAGCCCTGATGGAGGAGATAAAACCCAAATTTCACAAAGATTCCAGCAATTAAATCCCTTGCTAAGGAGAAGAGAGAGGTTTCACGTTCCTTTCACAGATTTTTTTTCACAGATTTCCTGAATTTGTTTCTGGTTGTTTCACCAACTCATCCCCTGCCTGGGGGTAATAATAAATATATATATCTATATAAACAAAATAAATAAATAATGAATAAAAATATATTTTTGTTGTTGTTGTTTTTATCCTCTCGTGGCAATTTTATGCAGGTTCAGATCATTATCTGCACTGGATTCTGACTTGATACCCACACAAAGAGCCAGGTCCTACCCAGGAATTTTCTGTTCCTTTCAAAAAGGAGCAGCAGACTGAGAAATGCAGCAGCCAGGGAATTCTAGGGGTGCAGCTGCCCAGGGGTTTTTATTTTTACCTTAAGCCACATTTAAACGTTGCTGCAGAATTAACTACAGAACTTCCTGAATATACAAGAAAGGCCTTTTTTTTTTCCCCCCCCCACCTCTTCTTTTCCAGGATCAGATTATTGTTCTGTTTTACATTCAGCACATTTTGGAAATCTCTGAAATTATCCAGTGGGCACCTGGAATGCACTGGGGACAACTTGGGGTTCAACTCCCCTTGTGTTTGTGCTCCAAAACCCCAATGTGCAAAACGGAATAACACCACCACAAACAACACTTTAAAACGCGTTTCCACGGAATAAATCTTGATTTTCCAGATTTCCAAGAGCCCTGAGCTGCCGTGATGTGACTCGGAGCAGCTCCTCCCTCCCTCCCTCCCTCAGCACCACACGAGAGTCACCCCCACAAAATTCCAGCGGCAGGGACTCACTCTGTGTCCGGGGGGTTTTGGGGGTGATGGGGGGAGGGCTGCAGGGGGGCAGGGTCAGCCTGTTGTCACCCAGCTGCAGACTCTTGGGCCTCTGTGCCTTCCCTGCCGTGCCCTGGGGAGAGAGAGACACACAGAGCCTGCAGGTGAGCACACACAGGTAACTGAGAGCTGTCACTGTGATAAAAACACCC